CCTTACTTTCCGCCGCGCCCTCAAGACATGGCTTTTCCAGCAAGCGGGCCTGGCCTAGGGAGGATTTTAAATCGGGTTTATTTTTAAGAAAATTTTAAACAGCACAACTTTAAAATATTTGGTTTTAATTTGGTTTTATTTGGTGGGGATTGTAAATATGTTTCTGTTTTTAAATATGTTGTGAGCCGCCCTGAGTCCCGTTGGGAGAAGGGCGGGATATAAATCAAAATTAAAAAAAAAAAAAAAAATGTTGCTGTTTAAAAACACATTAAAGCAGTGTCTATATTAATGGTCAAAATCGGCAAAATGACATACACACGCAAAGAGACAGGTTGTTAATTATGGCACCATTGCTTCTTGCCTATTTTGAGGCACATGTATACCACCGCGGACATTGCTGCAAGTAGTTGCAGGTTCAGGGAGTAAGTAGAGTGTGAATTGAATGCATATAAGTGATATGTGAAGTGGGTATATGGGAATGGAAAGCTTGATCTGTGAAAGAACCTCAGTGGTTAGAGAAGGTAGGATAGTGGGATTACAGAGGAAGGATATCAAATTTAGAGGAAGACTATGGAATGGCATTTAATGTTTTATGGAAAAAGTTAATTTTAAGTGTTGAGGTTGGTTTGCCCCCAATTGGGGGGTAAAATCTCTCTGAAGGTGAATTAAAGTTATTTGGAAGACATAAAGAGTTCTCACTTAGCTGCAACCCATTTTTTTTCAATACATTCCCTACATACACTAATTATTAAAACTTTGCTTACATCTTTATAGTATTGTGAATGTAAATTGCAAAAATTAATACAGATTTTCTTTTTTAATTTATCTAAAATTTCATAGAAAGAACTAGACAAGAATTAAAATAGGAAAATAAATAGATTGAAAAACTATATTAAAAAAATAGCTGCCCAGCATAACTAGAATAAAAGAAAATAAAACAAAAGGGGGAAATCATTTATATATGTCACATATCAAACATCAGATTTCAACAGTTGACCAAATTAAAAGGAAGAACTTTTTAACAAAAATCAACTATTCTCTAGTATTGCAAAATATATGTATATAATGCACATTATATATATATAATGTATATAATGTCTAAAGTGGCTGGCTCAACCCAAATCAGTGAGAAAAATATTTAACAATTTACAGTACATGTTTCAACAGCTCTTTCAAAAACTTGCTTTGAACAACTGGACTCCGTGGTAAGACATGGGAGGTTTAATGGAGTTCCAATTGAAGAAAGACTGTATTTGTGGAGCATCAGCCATTGAAGACATAGGATACATTCTTGTTGATGGCAGATTATATTCTCCAGAAAGGGCTGCTTACATAAACCCTTATTTAAAAACTAAAAAATATTTTAAAAAACTAAAAACAATCTTACCTATTGCAGGGAACAAATCTGCATATCACCAGTAAAATTGCATTCTTAATTTAAAAAGCCATCTCAAAGAGAACAGAATACCTACAGTAGATCAGATTGGGCTCTACTGTAGGAGTGACTATTATGAACCTTTTTTTTGTATCTATTTGCATTTTGCATTATTACATTCAATTGACTTAACAAACTTCTCTTTCTCTTCCTCATTTTTTGACTAGTGGATAAACTTGTGATTTCAAAAATGAACAATTCACAGATCTCTTGAATTCAATCCTTAATATATCAGGAATATTACTACTTTTCCTGGGTTTTTTTTTAGCAACATTTAGGCCCCAATGCAACCATAACTCCTCAACAATAATCAAATTCCAAAATTTGGAAACATAATTTAGAACAGTGTCAAAAACCATATCTATCCACATCCACCATCTTTTATAAATAGTATTGTTGTATATCATTTACTCCTGCAAATCCATAATTATTTAATACTACATTAGTGAACTGAATCCCCTCCTCACACACACACAGTGATATTATTTTCTTTTTTCTAAAATATTTTTCTGCCTATTTATTTAGCTCTTGTGTTAAAAGATGTATGGTTGTTCAAAAAGTAGTTTAACTTACGCAACACAGATTTTTTTTGGTATCCTGTTTGAAACAGTATAAGCTTAGTCTTTGATGCACTTTCTGTGTACTACAGTAGCTCAGTTAAAATAGATCTCAGATATATCCATCAAATATTAATTTGATGTAAAACATGGGCTAATAAATCTGGTATATTATTAAGCTTCCAACTATATCTGTATGTAATGTAATTTATTAGCTAAATGGTTTCTTTGTTGTTTTTAATCTTTGCTTGTTTGCTTTTTTCTATCCACTTTTTCCTTTTGGGCATGAATTTAGCATTCAAAAGCTAAGTAATGTGGGAACTAGGAACTAATGGCATGCTTAATGTAGTTTGAAGACAGGTTAATGTTTATATTTAATGTGAAACTCGAATGGTTGCTTTAACTATAGGTTAACCTCTGACCCTGGTTTAAAGATTGAAGAAAATCATCTTGGTGCAGTTGAAGATATATCCAAGTACAAGAAGAAAACCAAAAAGAATGTTTATCCCATAACATATGTATCTTCCAAGCAAAACCTTGAAAATCAATGCACTCAACAATGAATGTTTTTGTCACTTTTGTGAGTCCTTTCAAATGTATCTGAAGTAGCCTGCCCCCCAATCTGCAAGGTTCCAGATGTATGGACTGTGACTCTCATTACCTCTGGTCAGTATAACCAGTAGTTGTATTGATTGGGAATGATAAAAGTTTTAGTTCAATTCATCTAGAGGGTTCCAGATTGGGGAAAGCTGTTGCAGAATAAGTGATGATAAATTATTTTGTTCAGTGCTTTTTAATAATATCAGTTGAAGATAACACCTGAACATTGAAGTTGGTACTTCAGTTGTAAGTTTCATGTAGTATATTTTTAAAAACTGCAGATCTGTAAGAAAAATATTAGTATGCAGCTTACCAGCAGTTTATTCATACTAGTATATAATCCACTCTTTATATGAATTCCAAGTGAACATGTAAGACTAGATATAAATAAATGGATGTAATATATGTTAATGAGAATGTAACATAGCACTATTTTGCTCTACTTGTATGTATGTATTAATTAAATAAAATTTTCAAATAGTTTTATTCATTTGTAATAAATATTAAATAAAACTTCAGAGGTGTAAAATGCATTACCTGTTTCTGGTTGCTTCTCCCTTAGCAAAATTGTAGTTTTCTACTAAAAAGAGAATCCATACACCATTTGTGTCAAATTGAAACATAATTGTATAATTATTTGAACACATGATTCATTTTGAATGAAAGTTGGTTGATGCTGTAAAATCAGGGTGGAGCTCCTGCCTTGCCTTATGCAGATAAGATGCAAGGCTGAGAATTATATAAACAAAATCTAGATGTCTCTTGAGGGCATCAAAAGGCTAGCTAAGCATCTATTAACTTGGAAGGATAGGAAAGGGGGAAAGCCTAGAAATTTTAACTTAATTGAGTTGTCTCAGATAAAGTTTATGCCAAGTAATGCCAAGTGCTAAATAAGGAACTGGGTGTCTGTAGAGCTGAGGAAGGCGCTTCCAATTATTTGTATGGTTTTGTATACATTGTTTATGCCAAATTGAGATAGCCAATCAAGGTGGAGCAGACATACCTCTGAGTTTAATGGGGATAAAACGTATCATCTTTACAAGGAACAGGTGCTCCATAATGAAGTTAAAGAGTAATCAGGGATATTCATGTAATGGAATCTATACTACATCCTAGTCACATCACTATTTGGACTTTTTGACACACACACCCGACCAGGTATTGTAATGCAATACAGTATTGGAATTCAGTTTTTATACTGGGTTTTTGCACCTTCAAACTTATTGATCACTAAGGCCAAGAGATTTAGCTGTTTAATAAAGAGCTTCCGTGGGTTTATATCTTGTCCTTCCTTAAAACAATTGTCTCCAAATTGAGGTACGCACACCTGAAAAGGTTTGCAAGGCACTCCATTGGAGTATGGAAAGAAAGTACAGATAATATTTGGTTAACGAGCACGTATTCAGGGACCATTCAAAATTACACTGGTGCTTAATCGTATTCATGAACATCTTTGAAGTTCCAGACATACCAGGAGCCCTGTGGTCACATGATCACAATCTAGATACTTGGCAACTGGCTTGTATTTAAGATAATTGCAATGTCCCGCACCACGTTATCACCGTTTGCAGCCTTCCCTACTGGCATTCCACAAGCTAAGTCAATGCAGAAGCAGCAGAAGGACCTCAAGTTTCTCTGACAAGTCACTTGTACTTCAGCAGCTTTTCTGCCTGAGGTGTCTAGCTGTGGCACCCCCAGCACTCCTCCCACGGCACCCACTTGCACACTATTTCCTACGTATCATGTTTCCCCAAAAATAAGACCGGGTCTTTCTTTTCTTTTTTGGGGGGGAAAGCCCTGACTGCAAGGTAAGATGCCTCAGAAGAAGTGGACCGGCGAGGAGAGGCCTGGCTGCAAGGTAAGAGGTTGCAGGGCACCTGGGGCAGCTCCACACCCTCGCCCTAGCTTGATTTTTAGGTATGCCTTGCCCCAAAACTAGGGCTTATATTAGGCTCACCCCAAAAATCAAGCTAGGACTAATTTTTGGGGTAGGCCCTACTTTCGGGGAAACACTGGATGCACTGTGCTTATGTCACCCTCACTGCCACTCCTCATACCTCCCCCATCCAGCAGCAGCCAGGCTGCACTTGTGACATGCTCCTACAGCCCCTCCTACACCCACTAACACCGGGGTAGGCAACCTCGGCTCTTTTATGACTCATGGACTTCAATTCCCAGAATTCCTGAGTCAGCTATGCTGACTCAGGAATTCTGGGAGTTGAAGTCCATGAGTCATAAAAGAGCCGAGGTTGCCTACCCCTGCACTAACAGCTGGCCATGTGAGCACTACAGTGTCCTTGGCCACCTATGTAACTGTCAGCAGCCACCTGCTGCACAAGAGTCATACTCTGATAACCAACTGCACACCATGGTACATCTGGCATGAACCAGCCCTGTCGTATCCATGCACTCCTGCACACGTATCATAGCAGCTACTTGTGCACTATGAAGTGTTTGGCAGCAACCATTCCTGGCTCTCTGTGGTTCTGCCAGCCACCCGCATACCCAGCAACAACCACACTACTACACTTGTGTCGTGAGAGCCATCACACCTTCCCGATTTTGCAGCAGCCTCTTATCTGCCTGTTGGGGAATTTGCAACTTTCAACTTCTTCACTGACTTTGCCTATTGGAAGTTGGCAGGAAGTTGTAAGGAAATCCTCCTTTAATGAACAGGTATCCGCATTTAACAATGGCAGTGGGGATTGCCGACATTAAACAATGTGGTGATGTGTCATTGCGTTTTACGATTGCATTGCTTTCTCCTTAGACAGGCATAATGTGTCCTTGGTTCTGATCCTCTGTCAGGATAATGTCCTCAAAATTATGGATGCAGAATCACAGATTTTCTCATTTTGGGGCAGGATCTTAATTAGATTTGATGGAATTTTCAATGTCTTCTTGGTGGAATATTGATTTCAAACCATTGCATTGCTAAGATTCTTACCTGTTTAGATAAATTATATTGTAGTCCATCTATAACAATATAAAATATTGCTCAAAAAATAGCATGAATAGAATAATTATTTGGACAATGCAATAGCATGAAGTCTAGTGTAGTAATCAAGCATGAACTGATTACAAGCATGATTACAGAATAATAATGTTTGTGATTGTGACAACAAAATAGCATTGAATAGTTTGGCTTCTCATCTTAATTCCAGATTCAAGCAATTCCAAAGTGGAATTGCTTGAATCTGGAATTAAGATGAGAAGCCAAACTATTCAATGCTATTTTGTTGTCACAATCACAAACATTAAAGTTAGACATTGAAGTACTTAGAACATGTATCAAATAGTGTTTTTCTCCCTGTAACCAAAGATTTGCTAAAGTCAGAATGCTTTATCCTGATGAATTCAGAGCATAGTTTATACTCAGTTGACTCCATTTGCATAAGTAATTAATTACATTTTAACCTATTTGTTTTGAAATGTGGAGAAAAATAACCCTTAAAGCCAGATTCAGATGACACATTACTGTGATAAGGGTGAGTTTACTTGAAACAAACCATGGGTACAAACTGGGTTTAAGGATCTTAAATAATGCAACCTATAATGTCAGTTCATGCATTATCCAAAACCATGTCTTACCATGTTGCAAAACTCTTTGCTATCTACCAAAAGGATCTTAATTTCAGTGTAGCTGGGTTTATATGAAGACCAATTTGATTGTGGCCACGCAACTTAGTTGTGCTCTTTAATTATAACATCAACTCTGTTTCTAAGGGAAGATATAATTGGTAGGGCTGAATTTGTGCAGTAATCCATAATATCAATTGATTATGTCAGCTCGGGTATGCTGGTAGAAAATTAAGTCACTATGGCAACCACTTACAGTAAAGCAATCGATGCTGATTTTTTCCATGGCACTTGAAAGAAGTTTACTATAAAATGGAGCAATATTCCAAATGTTTGGAAGATTTAGCTGAAGCTGTATAGTTTCCGTGGAAGAGGAAGCATCTTTTTGTGTGAGTTTACATTACAATCTCTATATTGTAAAACATAAGTTGACTGTCACAGCATGTTCTGATAGATCTGCCATTTCTAGATAAAATTATTTTGATGACCCCCCTCCCCCCCAAATGACTGATTGAAGAATTGATCTCTGATAGGCTTTATAGCTTTATGCTATAAATCTGCCTGATTTGCTTAATTTTTAGGGGGTATGGGGGGGGTAGGGTGGGTAGGCCAATCCATGCCATGTCTGGGGGTCGCGGCACTAAAGTGATCAGGGGGGAGGTTGGGGGACCAGGGGAGGGTGTTGTGATAGGTACGGTCAGTGGGAGGGGCAGATATGGCGGGAGCAGAGGACCATATCGGGTTTTGGGAGCAGGCACACGCTGCTTACAAGCTTGTGGGTGCTCCGGTCCTCAGGACTCAACTCGACCCCCAGGGATCTTAGATCCCCGGCCCCGGGATCACCGACTGATGCTGTGTAATGCCAGGTCCGTGGTAAATAAGGCCCCCCTCATTCAAGATCTTATTCAGGAGGGGGGTGCGGACCTGGCAGGTATTACCGACACCTGGTTGGGCATGGAAGGGGGCGTGCCCCTTGTAGATATTTGCCCACCAGGTTTCTTAGCATTCCATCAGCCAAGGACCCGGGGCAGGGGCGGCGGGGTAGCGGTCATTATAAGGGAGAGCCTTTGTCCGAGGGAGACCACTGTGCCTCAGATAGACGGTGTGGAATCCCTCCTGGTGAAATGGGGGCAAGGGGTTC